ATCAAACACTACTGGATGTTGAGCAATAGAATAGAATAGAATAGAATAGAATAGAATAGAATAGAATAGAATAGAATAGAAGGCTTTTATTGTCATCATAGACAAAGTACAATGAAATTACAAGACAACTCCAGTGGTGCAAAATACAAGTATAAAAAGACAAATAAGAATATATAAGTATATTTACAAAAGGACCCAGTAGGAAGTATATACAGTTAGGAATGAGCATGGCAATAGCCAAACGGTGGAGTAAATATATTGCACTGTTGATGTAAGAACACTGTGAATATAGGAGAAATATTAATAAATAATCAAATAAATAATCATAGGGGCGGCAAGGTGGCGCACTGTTGCCTTGCAGCTAGAAGGTCGCTGGTTCACGTCCCGGTGAGGACACCCGGGATCTTTCTGTGTGGAGTTTACCTGTTCTCCCCGTGCAGCGTGGGTTCTCTTCAGGTTCTCCGGCTTCCTCCCACACAGTCCAAAAACATGTTGAGGTTAATTGGTGATTCTAAATTGTCCGTAGGTGTGAATGTGAGTGTGCTTGGTTGTCTGTCTCTAAGTGTAGCCCTGTGATAGACTGGTGACCTGTCCAGGGTGTCCCCTGCCTGAGGATTAAGCGGTGTATAGATGATGGATGGACGGATATATAATATATATATAAAAAGAAACCTATATCATACAAAGCTGCATTTTACCATTAAGGTACTGTATGTAAAATAAATAAATGAATAAATAAATTACAGAAAACATGTGAATCTATGACAAATTTCCTCTAAAACCTGTGTTTTTTTGTGCATGACTCACGGTGAAACCTCCAAACTATAAGGCCAGTTTTGTACAAGGTTGCGTTTAATTTTTAAGTGGCACTAAATAAAATGTGACTAATACATGGCGCTCATAAAAAAAGCATAGCAGCTCATTATATTAACTCAGCACAACAAGCCCAAAAGGGCTAACGCCGCAGCGGTGGCCTCGAGAGGCTTTGCTGTTTTTTTACACCTCACATTATGAAAAATGTGGACAGAACAAACAACAAACCGAGGGTTTTTATTTTTATAACGTTACCAGTAGATGGGTCTGAAAAGTCTCGAGGGAAGCGCAAGATGAATAGTGAAGAGCGTGTTCAAATCAAAAGGGTTTAGTCCCTCAAGTGCATAAAGTTGCAGTCAATTTAGTCGTTTAATTGTAATCTGCCCAGAGGACTGTGAGAAGTCTTGTGTGAAGCCGACGCTGGGGCTGGAAGGTGAAAGATTCAGCGAGGGTCCAAAATAAGAAGGACCTGTACTCTGTGGAGAATTAATGTGGTCAATAAATTAAAAATACCCAAAAGAATCACTTTAATGTATTTTTAATGATTAATGTAGCCTGATGGATGCTCTGGAGAAAGGTCAGGAGTACGTCAACACTTTAGAATTCATTACAAAGGAAGCATGAATATTTGAGCCAAGTTTCACAGATTTTCAGTCGATAATTCTGAAGAAAGTGTGTCAGTCATGGACGCACTAGTATGGGCCAAGGTAAACTTCAACTCTTTTCACTGGTCTGCACCCACTTGTAGATAGAAGGTCACGGATTCACCAAATAATATCATCCACTGGGGTGAATGAACGAAGGCCTGCACCAAATTCATGGCAAAGTGGCCACAGTTGTCAATAGTTGGATGTGAGAGTGCTGCTGAAAGAGGTCACATAAGGTCACCAGCATCTTTGAAATGTCCACAGAAATTCTTATAAATGCCACAATACGGCCAGTATTCACCAGCCAAGAGATGGATAAATCGCTCTGAGATGAACAACTGAGCACACTGTAATGAATCACTGTATAAATACCTAACAGTAGGTTACTGTTTTTCCATAAATATGATTAAATACTGTAAAATCTGATGATTTTTTTGGGAGAATGACTGTTAGCAGCAGGCGACTTTAAAAACTGATGGTGGGGGATTGAACAGTTCACAAAGCAGTGTTTATACGAGTAATTTAATGTAGGCAGCGAAGAATATTAATGATAACTCCACACTGATGGCCTGAAATAGGCCCTACTTTCACATTGATTTAATCTTTTTTACATTAAGGTAAACGATATATCCTTGGTTTCTAAACTGACTCCAAATTTTTATACATTGCTGCCTTTGAACAAATCCTACCGATGTATAAAAATGCAGCTCGCCCAATCCTTTATCCTTTGTTGGTTTAGGTGTTTAGGTGGGATATGCAATTTTATAAAGCTGCATTTCATAAAACAAAACCAACCCCTTTGCCTCATACGTTATTGTTTTAGGTGTTTAAGTGCTACACAAAAACACACAACTTGATTCATCCTTTATCCTTTAGTGTTTTCGGTGCTGTAAATTTTGTTTTCTATATTTTTTTAATCTTATTTTATTTAACTTTATTTTCCCTTCATTTTATACCCTAATATTCTGTGTTGTTTTTTTTTTTGCTTTGTTTACCCTCTTTGTTGAATATTCATGCTGCTGTAACACCTGAACTTCCTTCTGGGATGAATAAAGTCAGTCTAAGTGGTGCTGGTGTGTTTATATGTTAAACAGAGTTGGCAAACCTCAATATTGGATCATAAATATTAAAGACACCAGAGGTGGAAAGTAACGAAGTACAAATACTTCATCACTGTACTTCAGTAGATTTTGCAGGTGTCTGTACTTTACTTGAGTCTTTATTTTTCTGACGACTTTTTACTTTTCTTCCCTACATTTGAACACAAATATCTGGACTTTCTACTCCTTACATTCTCAAAACTGGCTCGTTACTTGTTTCAACCTCTGTGGATGACGACATGACGTAAAAGAGTCACTGAAGCTCAACATAGCCCTGCCTGCCTCAGCTGCCTGCGAGAGGCTTTTTAGCACTACAGGACTGATTTTCAGATCCAAAAGGACCTGTCTTCATTTAGAGAACTTTGAGAACCAACATCTGCCGAGGCTCAATAAAAGATGTTGGTAGTCTTGAAGAGCTGAGTGTCTCCATGTTGATTATAATGTTTAATGTTTACAATGTTGCTGAAATGGAAAACTGTCTTTTCTCTGTTCCAGCACGGTGCAGGTTCTTATTGGATGAAAACAACCTTATTTTGTGTGATTAAAACTTTTTTTCATTTTGCAGAGTCATCAAAAGAGGCATCGCGTATCATCGAAAGTAAAAAATTCATTTTAACTTTTGTACTTAAGTACATTTCTAAACCTGTACTTTTTACCTTTTTTTCCCCAACATTATGTTTATTTGTGCTTTAGGTCATTTTTACATGACATTTAAAAGAACAAACATTTAAAAGAGCATCCTCTTAGACACAAAATGCAGGTTTACCAACTAGTACATGGTGACAAATATACACTTGATACATCAAGCAGCACCAAACAGTCTTCATGTGTCGTCTTCCTTCTGATCTTCTGTTAAGTCAATGTTTTCGGCAAAAAATATAAAAGGCCTCCAAATGCTTTCAAACAAGTCCTTTTTTCCTCTCAGCAGGTCTGTAATTCGTTCCAATGGAAGTGTAGCCAACATCTGTTTAACCCAGTGTCCAATGCTCGGTGGGCTCATGTTTTTCCAGTGTAATGCAATCGATCTTTTTGCTTGTAGTAGACAAATATCAATAAAGAGCTGCTCATTTTTT